CATATACTAATATATTAGTGATAGTGTTTCAAACATTTTATCACTGGTATAACATATTTAAACACGTATCTTTGATGGTCTTACTTTCTTTAAGTAGTAAATCTAACCACTGATTACAGTACATTCTGAAACGTAATGATCGTGGTTTTAATAAAAGTTTGAATTAAATATCATAATTTCCTAAATATTAATCTATGAAATGTTTCATTATGGTCAAAACCAAAGCAAATAGCTGATATAATATGCTAAACCTTATACTTTAGAGCACCTAGAATGCTTACCGAGTCACGAAGCATGTTCTTCTAGCGTTTTTGTTTTGGAGGAGATAGGCAGATAGTAAGGCACGCAAGTTCATCATTAAGATCTCGGTTCGAAACTGTCCTTGAACGAAGTTCTTTATTTACATTTTAACCGAAGGTTTTGTCTTGTCTATTTTATACCAATATTGAGAACATTTCTACGCGAAAAAAAAAAGTCCGACATGTACATAAAGATATTTAAAAAAATTATTTTGAATACGCATGTATAATTTTTCCATGTGATTTCATTAAAGCCCTATGTAAACAATCCGGAAAAGAGAAAAAATGAGTAGGACACATTATTTGAGCAGACAGTTTAATAAATGAATTCCTAGGAGGAAGTATTCAAGGAAACGACCAGTAGGTAGGAAGAGAAAAGCACTGTTAGACAATCTAAGAAATGAAAGATCGTATGAAATAAAGAGAAGAGGGTTGTAGGAGGAGCTTTTGAACCAAGAACCTACCCTTGGACAGATAACTAACACGTGAGTTATAAGAAGTTAATAGCTATATTTTATTTACTTTAGTGAAATTAAATGTTATCAAGTGTTTTCAAGGTTGCTTATTACTATAAATGCTTCTGATTGGATGTGGTGCATTAAAGTATTCACATAGTAATGGTTTTATTTCTATGCTTCTATAAAAACGACAGACATGCTAGTATCTTACGGTAGCAGTCTAGGAGGTAACTCCTTTAAGCATCCTTAATATCTGACCTTCTTTAAAAGAATTTGTCTATAAGCCATACCTAGCCCAGTGTGCTTGTTCATAATTTTGCATTCGAATAATCAGCGTTAATTCCAGTTCACACGAAACATTTAATATATAATATTAATAGTACAGTCACTTATAAATTTTAATTTATATATTTTAATGGATTTTAACATGTGTCTTTTTATGAGATTGTTATTAGAATAGGTCAAATGTCTCTAGGAGAAAGGATTAAGTTGATAAGAAAATAAAACTTGCATGGGGAATATCTTAAAATGTACTTGACCAATCATGCCTGTTGACAAATTGATAGACTATAAAATAAAGTGGTCTTGGATCCTGAATATAGGATCGGGAAGATTCAAGCTAAGAAATATTATTGCGTTTGCTTGGTATACAGTGGGATCTAATTAACACCTGAACACTAACAAAAACACTTTAGGATTCAAATAATCAAATAATTCTAAATAATAATTTCAGTATCATTTTTATATTTGGCGATTGACCTGATTAATATCCGCAATTACATGTTAAAAGTTTGTAAGAGATTTTCTTTTTCTTTACAAAATATATAATTATAATTACAATTCTGGATTGTCGCGTATAGGTGAAACATCACATAGTAAAAACCAGAATTTCTTCGTTCCTGATATATTATTTGTATATTAGAAAACGGATGTGTAGTATCTTTTAACACAGCTATATATAATAGCTGCTCTAAGGCACGGAAGCTGAAGCTGATGGTTACATCAGGAAACATATGAAAGCTACAATATTGATTGTTTTTACCGAAAACTTATGCCGAAAGTTTTTTTTTTCTGTTTTGCATATCACTTTGTGAAGAAATCTATGTAAAGTTTCATCATATTGTTAAAGATAGCCGTCGCATTTTTTCTTTTCTTTATTGCATGACAGCAGAGAGATGGTTTTATTATTGTTTCATTTCTTTTTTGTTTTAGCATGTTGATTCACAATGTCGTACGCGGTGCCCTTTGATATTACAAAGTATATATTACTCTTAGAACAGGAATGCTCTGAGCGAAAACGTTCTTAATGGATAACTTATTGCTTTGCGGACTCTTTTTTTTTACAACAATTGTGAAAGAAATATTTCCTAGTATTAAATTTGTACACCTTAAAATGCAATACCAATTGATAAAAGCATAGAAGCTCCTGTAACCCACGGTAACATAAAAGATCAACCATTCATTTCGCATTAGATTGTTGACCGCAGTTCCTGGATTATTCATTTTATGAGAAGGTGCGAATGAATTAGAATTCCTTCAGATTAAAATGTATATTTTCTACGTATTAAAGAGTGTCACACGAAAAAAAGATAAAATTAATTTAATACCAAGCGACGGCAACGAGGTTTACAGTGTGATGTTATAAAGAGATTCCTTAAGGCTCACGTTGACATTACCCCCAAATTGTATATAACATTTCTGAACATCAGATTATTGCATTATGGAACAAGTCCTAAGGAAAATGTTCGAAAACTTTATTTTTCTTTTTTTAAAAATAACACACTATACTGGCTATAACAAACATAGTCATATATATATAT